GACCACGGACAGTGGTGGAATTCTCTGACTGTAGGAGGAAAGGTCTAGATGAAGGTCTAGATGTCTGTTGCTACTTTGACCTGTGGTCCTGATTGCTACTGCTCTGACATTTTTTTTCTTCTTGCAATTTAAAAACATCTAAGGTATTTATGTTTTTTCTCATCAGTCTGGCCCTTTTTTTGGCCATGATGTGAGCCAAATTTGGTGAAGATTGGATAAAATTTGGAGGAAACAAAAATGGCACTTTGATGGAAGTATTTTTGGCATGTTATTGTAACTTTTGACCAGTAAGTGGCACTGTCATGAAATTTGTTGCAAAGCCTCAGGTCATGGTCCTGAAGATGCCTACCAAGATTTGTGTCTGTGTGCTAGGTCGTTGCTGAGATACAGCCTCACTTCCTGTTTGGCGGCTTCACAGTCAGATTTGTTGGCACATTACAGGCAAACTATTTGGAATATTCTTCAATATTATTCAATATTCTTTTGATAACTTAGATGATGATGATGTTGGTTTTGATTGGAAATAATTTGAAAGAGGAGTAGCAAAAAAAACATTTTTGGCAAAATCCAAGACAGTCGACAGGAAGTACACTTGAATTTCAGATGTTGGTGTGCGTTCACTTCAGCATACTCCAGGGAATTATTGTAAAAAAAAAAAAAAAAAAAGAACTGTGAATTTAGCACAAATTCTTCAAATGATATAGAGAAAAAAATGAAAGTTGTTACAGTTATTGTCCAAAGGGTGGCACAGTCACAAAACTTCTTGGGTACATTCAGGGCCTGGTCCTGAACATACTTATCAAATTTTGTGATACGCAGATGCTTTGCTAAGATATACCCTCACATCCTGTTTTTTTGCATTTGCCAGCACGTTACAGGAGAACAGTTTTGAATATCGAAATTCCTTCGAAAGCTTTTGTTCAGATAGGTCTCAAGACGATGTGAGCCAAATTTGGTGAAGATTGGACAAAATTTGGAGGAGGAGGGGCAAAAATGGCAGTTAGTTGTAAGCATTTTCGGTATGTTATTGTAACTTTTGACCAGTAGCTGGCACGAAATTTGTTGCATACCCTCAGGTCATGGTCCTAAAGATGCCTACCAAGTTTTGTGTCAGTGCACAAAGTTGTTGCTGAGATACAGCCTCACTTCTCATTTGGCGGCTTTGCTGTCAGATTCGTTGGCCCATTATGGGCAAACCGTTTGGAGTATCAAAATTCTTTTGATAAATTTTGTGAGGCTTATTCTGAAGATGATGTATGCCAAATTTGGTGATGATTGGAAAAAAATTTTTTTGATGATTTTTAAAAAATAGTAGCGAAAAAAACAGTTTTTGACAAAATCCAAGATGGCGAAATCTTATTAGGCAGGAAATCATGTCAAAGGTTGTGTTGAATTCATCTTCTGACCAAGGGAATCCAAGGATGCCTGGCTTTTAAATTGTGGACACACAGTTCAAAAGTTACGACCATAAACATACTTCCAAATTTGACCCGATAATGGTGCTAGAGCATTGGCAGCACTTGGCCCAAATTTGGTCCGAATATTCCTTAGACCCTTCCCAATCAGTATGCCAAATTTCACAACTTTTTACCAGATGTTTCTACAGTCTGCCATAGATACCCTAGCCTGAAGAAGAAGAAGATGCCGAAAAAAATAATAAGGAAAGGTAGAATAACAACAGGGTGCCTACGCACCTTCGGTGCTTGGCCCCCTAATAATGAGCATTATCAGTGCTTT